ACCCATCACTGCAGCCCGGTGCGGCGGTGCCACCTGACACAACCGGCCGACACACATTAGTAATGGGAAACTGGTGTTGTTTTGCTCCGGTTTGTAGGTGGAACTAGATTTATCGTTTTGTGGCATGTGCGTCCATTTCAAAACAATGGTATTGGTAACAACTAACACGTTGGTATAAGCCACAGTTAGTCGCTCAGTACAAAAACTGATCAGAGTAAGAGGTTCCGAAAGATAACGAAAAGAGAAGTACTGGACGAATGTTTGCAAAGGCACATAACTAATTGCGTATAATGACAGAACACAGTCTTAGGCATCATTTGACAAAACGAGTACAAACATTCTTTGGAATCCTAGAATCGCCGATGACAAAGCAGCCAGCGCTATTCCGTACCCGCGTGTTAGAACCAGTGTCTCAGAACTGCATTTCCCGTTAGCTTAGCTATCGTCTACACTAACAGATTGTTCACACGCGGTTCGCCTGCCTTCGCGACATTTATCATCTCTAGACGGATAGGCGAGAAATGACTGACGACAACAATCACGAGACGAAACATCACGTGACGCACACGCCTCATCCATCACACACGCATGACTGATATCACGTGATACGGTATATTTGTTTGGCAGCCACTACGATCTAGGTCACGTGATAATCGAACGGACTCTACGCGTACAATTTTAGTCATATGATCAGTCTTCCCTGTTGATGAGTCTGAATAATCAGTCAAGCTCAAAAGCAGGTTGAATTTGGCGTGACCGAACGGACCCATAACTTTTACATGTGTTTCGAATCCTGCACGGATTGTTCAGTGGAGGCGGAACACCTTCAATTAAGAGGGGGGGGGGAGGCACTGGCGACTTTTGGTCCCATTCTTTCCATGCAACGCCCATAGGGCTAATGTTAAAATGCAAAAATCAAAGGGGGCATGGTGCCCCGGTGCCCTCCCCGTTCCGCCGCCTATGGGGTTGTTCCAATTTCTCCCGTCAATCATCCAGGCTTTCCTCTCTAGATCACCCCCTTGTATTTCGCTCCCCTCCCCGGATAATGGTCACATCTCTCCAAGAGAAAGGCTTCAATTAGGCCAGCGGCCACCCTAGTGGCCTGACTGCACGTGCTAATGAAGGCACCTGCCGCGGTTATCGAAAGTCCACAGGTAGAGTGCAGGAGGAGAGAGAGGGAGAGAGAGAGAGGGGGAGAGTGGGGTGCGGCGGGAGGTGACCGCTAACTCGTCTGTCAGGTGTCTGATGGTCAGTCAACCGTGACAGACTCACTAACGGAGTGTCGGGCCGAGCCGGGCGGCAGGGAGTTCTCACACTGGACAGAGGACGGTTGGGAGCTCTCACATTGGCCATAGGACGGATGGGAGCTCTCACATTGGATAGAGAACTGCTGGGAGCTCTTACATTGGATACTGCTGGGAGCTCTTATATTGGATAGAGACTGCTGACAGCTCTCACATACAACAGAGGAGGCGAGCTAGTAATGGCCGTCACTTTTATACATTTGACTAAGCTCTCAGTTCTCACATTGGACAGAGTGTGCCAAATGAAATATAATGGACATTGGTAAACGCTGAAATAACTCCATTATTGGGCAAACGATTTTAGACTACACAAATCCTCTTTTACACATTTGGCTAAGCTTCGGCGTCGGACAGATTACTGCGGTTGATAGGCAAAGGGCGTCGCTAGAAATCTGAATGAAGAGTCGGAAATGAATAGGCGGTTTTCAGCGAATCGTATAGTGTTCCTAAGCCGTTGTCTAATGTTCGTGAACAATGCACGTATACAGTATTCTATAGTTGTACATGAAAAGTACGTGGCAGTCGGTAAGGACAGAGGAAGGTAAACCCTTGACCCCTGGGGCCCTGAATGTAGAAAACATTTCTGGGGCTCTGAATGTAGAGAACAGGTCGTGACAACCAAGGTAGGTATGCTGCATGGCCGACAAACTCGCTGCTTAGTCGGCAACCCAATGAGATGCCCTGAATATCGCGTGATTGGCACCGGCCAGATGACAGTGTACTAACCTAATTAGTTTACACGTGGTAAGAAATTATGCATGCAATGGCAAGTCATTGTCGTGACGTTCGAGGAGCCTAAATAGTGGCCTGAGTGATAGATATTAATGAAATATAGCGGTACCTGGCTACAAGTAGCTGCCTTGAATACAATAGGCGGCGGCACGGGCAGCTTTCACGGGTAAATGCGAGCCAGAAGCACCGTAACACATGCTTGACTTTTGGGGTACCTAATGGCTAATGCACCTTTCAATTTAAAATGCATATAACTTCGCTTGGCTGACAACAGAGCCTATTTTAAGGGAATTTGACTGGGGGGGGGCAACCTGGAAAATTGTCTCTAATAATCCATCAACCCTCGCCCGTATTGGTATTTTCCAGCTGCGAACGTAGATGGGGGGGGGGGGGGTCCGTTGGACCTTCCCCCTTGCCGTTTCGACCCTGCTCGAGCTAGAGCTTCATGGAAAAAACGACCGTGTTGCCCGTGATGAAAGGAAGCCGATGATACCCAATTTTAACCCTCGCCGACCCTCGCCGACACAGGGGGGGGGGTTGATGCAACCCCCCTAAGGTTTTTTCGCGAATAACTCGCGTAAAAAGCTGCCGATTGCAACGAAACTTTCAGTACCCTCACATTTATCAATTTTACACCTACCCTAAAAATTTCATGACCCTGACCCAAATGACCTTTGACCTGTGACCTACTTTCCGAGACCATGTTTGGCCGGAATCACGATTCGGCGTATGTCGACTCGCATTAGCCGCGCTTTTGCAAGCTTTTCGTGCTTTCAAACGTTCAAACATGTGATTTGATGTTGCTCCCATGCATTAGGGTGGATGTCAAGGTCACCTGAAGGTCAGGTCAGGTCATTGACCTTTGATGACCTCGGTTCACTTTTTCGAGTTTTACATGTTTCTAGGCCAGTTTTTGGAGCTGAATTCGAATTTAGCAACCCGATGAACATTTACGAAGCCTAGTTTTAGTGCCTTTGTAACATGTTACGAAGCTGTCAGAGGCGGTTGACACCTACTAGGAATGCCCGGCAGGACCCCTACTGGTTGACCTGACCTGACCTGACCCGACCTGGACTAAATGCATGAAGACATCATCTGTGATCAAAACTCACATGATATCATTCGGATCAGCACCCCGAAAAACCCCATAGCAGCCACACTTTACGACGTTCTAACAGGTCCCGATTTTCCCGATTTTCGGGTCATTGACCTGACCTGGAAGGTCACCCGATGACCTAGGACATTAAAATTGGATATCATCGGCTTCCTCTCGTGACGGGCAGCACGCTCGTTTTTTCCGCGAAGCTCTAGCTCGATCAGCGGCCAAACGCGAGGGGGGGTCGTACCAACCCCCCCTTGTGCCGTCGAAGGACGCAAAATGGCCTGTGCCGGCGAGTGTTAAGGTCCTAGGTCGTCATCACTTGACCTTCCAGGTCAGGTCAATGACCCAAAAGTCGGGAAAATCGAGACCTGTTAGAGCATCGTAAAGGGTGGCTGCTATGTTTTTTCGGGGTGATGATCACGATATCATGTTAGTTATGATTATAGATGATGTCTTCATGCATTTAGGCCAGGTCGGGTCAGGTCAGGTCAGGTAAACCAGTAAGGGTTTTGCCGGGTGTTCGTAGTAGGTGGCAACCGCCTCTGACAGCCTCGTAACATGTTACGAAGGCACCAAAACTACTTGGCAATCGGTCAAATGGTTGCTAAATTCGAATTTAGCTCCAAAAACTAGCCTAGAATCATATAGAACTCGAAAATGTGAACCGAGGTCATCAAAGGTAAATGGCCTGACCTGACCTTCCGGTGACCTTGATACCCACCCGAATGCATGGGAGCAACATCATATCCCATGTTTGAACGTTTGAAACCACGAAAAGACTGCAAACGAGCGGCTAATGCGAGGCGACATGCGCCGAATCGCAATCCCGGCCAACATGGTGCCATGGTGCTAGGCCGCCGGTGCATCTGAAAGAACTGTGGGTGCCCCTGACAAGCCTGAAGTTCCAACGACAGGCCCGTGGTGCCCCTGACAGGCCCATGATGCCCTTGCGAGGCCGTTGGTGTCCCTGCTAGGCCGGTGGTGCCTCTGCTAGGCCGCTGGTGCCCCTGGGCCCTGAGAGGACTGTGGTGCTCCTGACAAGCCTGGAGTGTCCCCGACAGGCACGTGGTGCCACTTACAGGCCCAAGATGTCCCTGCGAGGCCGGTGGTGCCCCTGCCAGGCATGTGGTGTCCCTGCTAGGCCTCTGGTTCCCCTGACAGGCCTGTGGTGTCCCTTGGCCCTGACAAGCTTGAGGTGCCCCCGACAGGCCCGTGGTGTCGCTGACAGGCCCGTGGTGCCCTTGCTAGGCCTGTGGTGCCTCTGGCAGGCCTGTGGTGCCCCTGGCGGGCCTGTGGTGGTATCCCTGACAGGCCCAAGGTGGCGCCCCTGCGAGGCCGGTGGGGCCTCTGGCAGGTCTGTGGTGCCCCTGGCAGACCTATGGTGCTCTTCCTAGGTCGATGGTGCTCCCAACAGGTCTGTGGTGCCCCTGACAGGCCGGTGGTGCCCCAGGCAGGCCTGTGGTGTCCCCGGGCCAAAGGGGGCGGGGGTCATAACCCATATGACCCACCATTGGATCCACCACTGGTCATTACTTGCAGACTGACTCATTTGACATCCATTGCAAAACAAGTCACAGTTGTATGTTTGTCACCGTGTTCCTTTATGCCCATTTTTATAGTGGGCACATCTCGACGACTGGGGGGGCAATTCTGTTGAGTGCGGGGGCATTTGCCCCCCAGTTAACATGTTAAAATAGGCCCTGGCTGACAAACCGAGTTTTTAATGGACCAGTTTTCACTCTTCCCTTTGCATCTAATCAATTACAATAAAGCACAGCATTATGAAACGGTGAATTGCCCATAAGGGCGCGGACAAAAAAAAGGTCAAGCGCAGCTACTACGGAGTCAACACATCAACTCACCTTTTTCCTGGGCAGGATCATGTCCAGGATCTCGTTCCTGATCTTCTGCTGCGCTTCCTCCTGCCGTCGCCAGTAGTTTCTGACGTGTGAAATGAACATCTCCGGCTGAGGCAGCTGCTCCGGCTCTGTGCTGTTGAGCCGCTCCAGCTCCTGAAGGATATCCAGCCGCTCCTGATCGGTCAGCTCGTCATCATCCTCAAGGACCGTCTCCGTCGGTGGAGAACTTGTGGAGGCGAAATCCTCGCTCAGTTGCCGAGATTCTCGCGATAGAGATTTGAGAGCTTCGTCTTTTGGCGTTTTGCCAAGAATATTTTCCAAAGCGGAGGTCTGGGTTTCGATGAGAGCACGTGCGGAGGCGAATTCGCCGCTGCCACGACTGGGCTCGGCTTTTGACACTGCACTGGAGACATCCGAAGCCGAAGCTGAGGAATCGGCGGCGGATGTGCACGTCCCGCAGATCAGGAAAACGGCGAGAAGCACCTTCATTTTCTGAAAGCAAAAATTAAATACCGTGATTAGAGCTTCATTGCATTGGTTTTGGCTGCGTTCGCTAGTGGACAAATAAAGAATGATCAACTTCGGAAGGGGAAGTTCAATGAAACATATTCTAACGACTTTCATACAATGAAAAAAAACGTAAGAATATAGTAAATTCAGGTGCAGATAGACAACAAAGTGGTACGCAGCTTAGCTGCACCAATTCATAGTTCATTCCCAGTTTCAAGTAATGTTGGATACAACTCTGCACATAATTTTGATTGATTTGATCCCTTCCAACGCCAATAAACGCTATCGCTTCCAAAAACACCTGGACTACGAACGTACCTTATTTATAGCTGATTTTGGGAAGGGTTTTCGAAGCCTTCCACGTCTTACTACAGATGAGTGACGAGGGTATTTCTACATGCCGCAATCTCCTGCAGAAGAAGAAGAAGTGTCACTCGTTAGTTGCCCATTCAGGTCCGGCTATTCTGTCTCTTTCTGGACGTCAAGTCACCATACACTAGCCATCACAATAACCCATACACAGTGATGTAGTGGCGTAAGTGGCTTTAGATCACTGGTCACTTCATGCACCAGACACCAATCATAGAACGTCACTATCACCAAACTGTCACCAAGATACCAAGGCACTTCTGCTGTTCACCAGGAACAACAGGAGAGCGCGCACCTCACCATCACGCTCCTACCGCTACACTGACGAGCGATCTGTTAGGGACCGTTCTCCTTCTCTGCTATAAGACGTAATGGCAGCTTCTAATCACCATTCACTAATCACCAGTCACCAGTCAGTGATCACCAATTGGGAGCCTTCGAGACGGCCACCCGAGACCGTCGGTAACCAGGTCAAACTAGGCTACCAATCGATCTCGAGCTACGCCGTCCGGTAGGGATAATATAGGGCAAACTTCAGGCTTGATCACACACTCCTGCTCAGTGAAGAAGGTGGAAGCTAGTGAGATGGGTCACGTCAATTCAGGCCAGGGAAGTGAGACACAAGGGAGTGCTACCAACTGAGATAGATTGTGGGACAATGAGTATAGGTCAGCTGACTGGAACGAACAATTAGACACTCGGTGTTAACGGACCATTAGAGGCGCGATGTGAACGACAGTTAGAGCCCGGTGTGAACATTGGCTGAGGTGGGACGATCGGTAGGCGATTTATGTTTGAACAATGACGTAACGATATGACCGGGATTTATATAAACTTTGTCAGGGTGCACGGCAAACAATGCTGTCAATGTGTCACGTTTTGAAGTTTCGGAGCGTTTTTTTATGCTATTGAAACGAGTCGAGGGCTGAAAAAATGCAACTCGCAAGTGCAGCAGAAAATATGGGTTGTTCAAATACTTATTCAAATGAAAAGCTCTCACGAATGTTAGACACAAAAGATGGATGTGCTCGTTACAAGGCTAAATGTTAAGTTTTGCGTATTGATTGTATTATTTTCCAGCAGCAACTAATGACCGAGACAGTAATAATCCTTGGGCGAGTTTATCGGTTGGTAGGATCTGTCCCGTAATGAAGATAGAGATCAAACAGAAATTTCGCCCGCTCAGCTTATTCTTACAAAAGCACTGGAGCTTGGAACAGAGACTACAGCATATTCCATGATACTTGCAACTTTGATGTACAATTGCAGAGTTCCTGTTTGTGCTAAACTGACAATCTCAGCACACCCTAATTTCATGCACAGTGAACCATACCGTGTTTTCAGTTTCAGCAAGTCTTCACAATACCGCGAAGTCATGAACTGTGAAAACCAGATACGTGAAGCGGACAGTGACTTCTTCTATACCGCAGACAACTGGCCACACTGCGTGGACAGCATGCATTTCATAGCAGTGGCCGGCGAGACAATGGCTCAAGCACCCCGACAGTTTTCAGTGTATGTGAGAGTGAGACTCCTTTTTACACTCAAGCCAATTATACTGCGAAATGTGCGTTTCTATGTGAAAATGTGTTTCTAAGAACGGTTGTCGTAGGAATTGTCATTACTAATTTTCACGCGTAAAACTTCCAAAAGAAAGTATTGGAAGGTTGAAGTGGGGATCATTTATGTGAGAAAAGCTAGAAATCTGCAGCATAAAAAGACTTCCCAACTCTTGCAAGAATACAATATATTAGTTGTTCATCTTATCAATTCATATCCGATCAATGGCTAGTTGACCGATTCAGGATAGATAGTTGACAGAGTATAAAAACTCGAGTTGATCGTGATCACTGAATCATGTTTTCAAAACCGATAATTCAGTCTCGATAGTCGACATGTTGAAATTTCCACCACGAATTCAATCACTCCGACTGATTCCTCTCACGCAACAGCGAAGAAGACAACAGACCTTAGACCAGATTCGCTACCGGACCTACTGTGCTCACTTTCCCTCTCCAAACCCAGTTGGCCACTCTGAGGAACGGGCTCAATCGAGAGACCACAACGAGAGAAGACCAACTGTGGTCACCTCGATGGTCACACCAAGACGCTCACTGGCCCCCTTTACACCTAGGGTTGTCGCCGAGACGAGTCTCTCTTCACCACAGCTATACGGACGATGGTCAGAGAGGACGAGGGAGATATGGAAATTGGAAGCATAGTCAGAAGATATGGCAGCACACACCTTGCCGTGGAGCGGATGGTGTGAGGGCGATGTGATTATGAGGGTAAACAGATCACACCGAAGAGATCAATTTTCAAGCTTACGCCAGTTCTGGGGTCTTTCAACATTGCACTATATTTCTGTAGATCGCGTCTCCATATATCACTTTTAATGGTAAAAGCAGATGACTCTAGTAGTTGAGTCCATGGCTCTATATTACCCGGAACATAAACCATCAGGAGCCTAATCCGCCAAACCTACCCCGCAACTATAGCGTGTTGTGTCACTTCATTTTGGTGTTCATATGTGACATCCTAACATCAGCTCCTACGAAAACAATTTACTAGCATGGTCATAACCCACAACTCCGATCGCATATCTAAACAGAGACAAAGGGGACATTTTGCGATACCGTCAGATTTCCCTTCATATGCATTCTGGCCTGCTTTTCTGATAGGGTGACGGCTGCTACAAACGAAACTCTCTGTGCAGCGAACCGTGCCACTATCAGTCTTATGAAGCAGTGACACGAAGTGCATCCTCTCACTGTGCACTGCATGCAGTGCATGGTGCGTCGTGCAACCATGGCGTGCACACTACGCATTGCACGTGGTGCATTTATAATGCAGTGCAAAGTCACGATTTCTGAAAAACGCCAGTGAAACATTAGATACACAGATATGTCATGGATTAGGTAAGTACAAAACTGTAATCGATTTACGATACGAATATCAAAGATGCGTGGCTGCCACCGGTTAGTACTAGGTATGTCGGGCAAAATATTATAAGAGGAGCAATATTTTGCCTGACAAGTGAAAATTATATGGCATCCTACGTCACAAAAACACATTGCTGTAATAGCAAGGATGCTTATTGCACAAACTCCTATGTTCTCTATGTTCGATTCACTTGCACATGGTTTGCTATCTTCCATCTATTTTGATTTTTTACATTCCTCAACCTTGATCAGCATTGTCCAGTCATTCTGGATGCCGGCTGCCGCCTATGTAATTTACCCCAAAATACAATGAAGGAATCGGTGGAGCATTTAACGCATAAGACTGGTGACAAAAGCCAAAATGATCAGGTTGATGTCCCTACACACAGAAAAATATTGACACCGTTAGCGGTGTAATTGCACAGTACATATCTGAGCACTTGAGGAAAGTTAATTTAGTCCCTTCCCCGCTTAAATTACTCGCGCTTCTAAATGAACACCAGGAAGAAGGTAATAGAACACTGTTAGGAGGGTTGGGTGTTTTACTACATGTAGCAAAACACCCAACCCTCCTAACAGTGTTCTATTACCTTCTTCCTGGTGTTCATTTAGAAGCGCGAGTAATTTAAGCGGGGAAGGGACTAAATTAACTTTCCTCAAGTGCTCAGATATGTACTGTGCAATTACACCGCTAACGGTGTTAATATTTTTCTGTGTGAAGGGACTAAATTAACTTTCCTCAAGTGCTCAGATATGTACTGTGCAATTACACCGCTAACGGTGTTAATATTTTTCTGTGTGTAGGTGGAAAATTGTGCTTGACTGGGGAAAGGAAGCTCTCCCAATTCCACGCCGGCTTGGCTTTGGAGCCACAGCAGACGGCAGAGGTCAAGGTCACCGCTAGGGCGGCGGCGGATTTGCTGCGCCCGAGCACCCCCAGTTCGGCACAACTATCCGCCTATGCTGATGTCCGCCACCACGTATCTCCGAATCTGGTGCGGCTGTTCAGAACAGTGACGGCTGCTAGCGGCACCGGTCACACTGACGAGCTGACAACAGTGGTATCAGCTGTCCGACAGGATAATGACACCCTCCGTGGTCCGTTCAGTGCTCCACCACAGTCGGCCGAGCCAAAGCAGCGGATCTGTTACGCATCGCTGTGTTCGTCAGCTCGTCAGCGGTTTTCGGAGCTACGTTCGGTCACCAGAGTACCGCCATTGATACGTCCCCGGTACTCCTGAAGAGCGTGTTCGTTATCGGTCGAACATCTGGCATCCGTACACTCCGGACTGTGGTGGTTACCAGATCGTTGACGAACCCATCTCGGCCGCGCTTTAAGAGTCTGTCAAACCGACATCGCTCTGTGTCTGTTGGATGGATCGCGTGACGCGCACTTTAGTGTAACACTTCTGTCCGTCAGAGTATCATCCAACACGTGGTGTAGCGTGTTGTGGCGAACGTAGAGAGGAGTACGTGACAAGCATCCCATTGAAACTCCTACATATGGCGTCTACAACATTGAACTGAACCTGTTCATTTGGTAGATCATGAAAACGCCGGGACCTACTTCGAGTGGATAGGTTCGTCAAAGAACTCGACGGTCGAACTCCAGGAGCGTGTCGGCCGGCGGGTGATTTATTGTCACGGGAATGCCGTGCATGGGGCTGTAATTGATCGAAAGCCGTCACTATTGGAGGTGGGTTTGATGCTAATCGCACATAAATGTCGGTAAAATGACTGAATTGGAACTTTGGTAATAAGGCTGCCAATATTCCCACGTTTTTGAAGTTCACGGTTTCGGTTCATGGTTCACGGTTCACGGTTTTTGTGGTTTTTGCTCGATCATTCTATCCTTTAGCATCAAAAGTCGCAACATACATGCCAACAACTGTGACATGAGCAGCTCAATTCGAAGCTGATGTTACAGTTATTTTTGGTTTGTCTATTTTTTCCTATTTTTGGTAATTTCAACAGCGTGATCAAGGAATTCATTGTGGGCTCGCTACTGTCGTTACTACCGTTACACACGCATGCATTCTTTTGCCTTCTTCGTGTGTCTCATCAACAGTTCCTGAAACTCCTGACCACATTCTCACAAGAAGCACAATTTAAATCCATCTGCGTTATTTATTCGGACGGCAAACGAAGCACCAGGTGGCTGGCTAACTGTACATACTGCTAGCGTCATAAGTCGTTTCAAACGGGTTCCGCTGCGGTAAAGCGCCGTCTGGCATATGTTTTGCGTGCCAAACGTGCCCCTAGTGACGTCACGTCGTGCCCGCAGTGACGTCACGAGGCGGAAGCAACGGCGGGAGTGCAAGCAGTGCGCTGTGATCTTTATTCGTTTACTGTTTTGAATGAAGAACATCGGCTGCACACAGCACGTCTACCATTTATTATTACATAAATGCCTCAAGTGGATGAATTTAAAGTTAGTGTGCCAGCTTTCTTGGACCGTATGGAGTTAATGGCCCAGATAAGGAGAACCGGATTTTTAGAACTTATCCATACCTTCAAAACTCATGGAAACGTCTTAAATTCTTCAAATTTTGAGTACCCCAGTGCGAAATTCGCCCCGACGGGTTGTCGGTCGTACCCCAACCACATTTCACACCACTATGAACAATAAATGCACACACTGAAATCGCTATTACCGATATGCTCATCCAATCAAGTTTCGATAAACCCGTTCATCATCATCTCCTGCGGTTTCGAACACGCCTGTTAGGTGGCTTCTGATGCTCGTCGAGGTCGGAATTTCCAAATACGCGTGGTGCGTCGGGCCGCGCGCTCTGACTTCGGCCAAGAAAAATGCGTCAGCTGATCATTGTCATTTCTGCCACTTGCGTGTGGTGAAATGGGGTCATAACTTATAAGACGGCTTTTTCATATCAATTATTTTACATAAAATCATATTTCAAACCATAAATAATGTTCGACAGCCAAATAAAAGAAACAATACCAATACGGGCTTACACTTTAAGGCTCGATATTGTGTTGTCTACGATTAGACAGCTGATAACTCATTCCCGTACGTCGTATGGTCGTAACACTATAATGACCTTTGCTTATTGTCACAAGTGCGCCGCATTCGCGATTGTTGCCCGACGCCTGTTTGCAGGTGAGCCCACTACAGTTGTTATACATATCTAAAAACCGAAAAACTTTTAGGCGAAAAAGGCACTATTCCAGGCCCATTTTTGATTTTTTTTTGCGATATTAGGTAAAAACAGAAGCTTCTTATCCTAGGAAAAATAAAATGGGAAATCTTTCAAAGGTGGCACACTACCTTTAAATCATTCGAACGTTAAATAGCTACTTTCAACCACAATATCCGCGAGGAAGAAGTAGTGATTTACTCCAGCTGACAATGAACAGGTTACGAAAAAAAATAGCAAATGAGCGTGATTCTTTTTTTGTCTAAATTTCAGCCTTCCCCTATCACATTATTTGGACAACCCAGCCAGTACCGATCATCTAATTTCCCGAACAAAAGTATATGGTTCTTCAGTTTGAAGCGACTAAAGCTAGTTTCATGCCTCAGAGATCAGTTCGGTCAGTAGAATAAAACTGACACTGGACATGTCCTGTGTTTACAACGGTGACTGAGCCATGCTGTTACGTACCGTGACCCGAATTAAACCTGTATCAGAAATTTATATGAACAATTGTGGAGAACCAGGGAAAAATGAGCTAGGCACCATGTGACTAAAAATGTGTCTGAATCGTTACTCGGGATTGATAGTCACAACCTGAGCAAGACAGACCCCAACGTGGCTTTATCCAGATAACTAACGAACTGGTTTAGTTATCAGACAGCCAGGTTGAAACAGACTTCTCTCAGTGCCAGACATGGTTTGCAGGGTTATTGAAGCAATGCTAGACGGCGTTAGTATGAGAGCTCGGCTTACTGCTGACTGCTGAGACAAGCGATCTGTCAGTGAAGACACATTTCTTTCACGGCTGTCGGCTGGTTGCATATTTTACAATTACATAGATATCGATCGCATCTGTAAAGGAGCTGTGAAGAGACATGAGAGACACAGTCTGGTGTTCACGTGTTCAGTTTGCACGGATGAAGAGCTCGGCAGGTCACGGGGTGGCTGTGACGTCATCAGAGAGCTCATTGGGCGTGTCAGACGGCAGCAGAGTGTGATATCATCAGTGTGTGACGTCACTAGAGCTCACTGGGTCACCGAGTCCGAGACTGCCGTCGGCATTGCGTAAGGTGTAGTGCGTCTCTTCGTGGCAAGGTTGAATGGACGTGATGGTAGCATGGTGCACATATGTTGGTAGACATTGGTTTGTTATATTGTTTAAGAATTAACTATATTTAATTTTTCATCGGCCTATAGGCCGTTGGAGTGCTATACTAAGCAGTGTCAAGGGACGCCTTTATCGGATAGCTGGATTTAAATTTTAAATGATATGATAAGCAAAACAATGAACAACGATAGTCTTTCTACGTGAAAAGGGCTAAGGGAAGATGTTTTTGAAATCGCTAAGACCAGCGTGTTTATCAAACTGGAATATAACAACAGCTAAGAATCAGGCGACGGCAGGAAATAATGTCAGACGATGCCACGACTGGAAGAAGCGGTCAAACTTGAGTGAGTAAGCTTCCCACCGTTGCCAGATGTGCCAAAGACACGACTGCGGCCACTGTGCGCCGTTCAATCACAGTGTTTATACACGATACTCGTGACTAGAGTGGTCGTGACTCGCGAATTATGTAAGTACGCTCGCTTCACGATCGTGACGTGAGGTAAAGAACGGTTGGTACGCCTTACAGCTATCTTTGAGGTTCCGTGGGATCCTTGTGGCCTGCTGGCTTGTTAAAAACGTCGGAATTTTATACTCTAGCTGATTGAAATGGTAGAAGCGTGCGTTCTAAATGATAGAAAAATGCAGCTAATTGATCACTGTTCATTGTTCAGTTGAGGTAGATACAGGTATACTGAGAGAAGACACTTCACTTCTCCATAGAATTTAGAAAAGACCTGACATAAATGTTAGGCTTCGACCCTTTGTAACTCATCCACTTTGGCTTGCGAGGCGTGGTGGAGCCAACGTTGAACCGAATTAGCATTTTACAGACGCAGATATCTGAAAACAAGAGCCGGTAGAGTGTACCGGATCGACTTTACATGCTGCCCAACTCTGATACTACTGGCCCTGAATAACTCACCTGCCTTCTGCGTCACTGGCTGCCGATGATCGGTTTAACTGTGACGGTCAGCTGACGCGTGCGCTGCAGTCGTTCTGCTCAGTCAGTTTGTTGTCTCCTCTCACCCGAACACAGTAAATCACTGCTGCACTAAACTCGGTCACAGCTGAAGTGTCAGTAGCCAAACAATACCCACAACTTGAGTCTAACCAAACCAGCGTCAGCTCGCTCCAAAAGCCAGCCGTCCTCGCCTCGCCTGCGTGAATCCTCAAGTGTGCTGCTTCGGCCGCGTGGTGCCCTCCCCTCCAGCGGCGCTGTGACTGTGCTGTGGTCCCGACCTGGAGCGAGCTGCGACTGGAGTCAGCGCAGTCTCACTGAGTGCCATCGCGACTCGCAGCGGCGTCGGCGGCGGCGGCGGCAGCGAGCCGTTACTTCGGCCAGGTACTGAACCGTGACGCAGCCGGGCCGGTATCTGGGACACGAGGAGCGCTGCGGCGCGGACCCCACGCTGCTCAGCTGGTGGACCACACGGTCCGGATGGTCCCGGACCAGGACCGTGAGGGTGGGAGAGGGGGGGGGGGGGGTGCGAGGTGAGGTTTGCTCATACAGCACCGAATAGACGAGTTGTTCCGAGTCCTAAAACCACCCTCTGTGACCTTCCACGAACTGAGGCGAGAAGTGGGAGGAGAGGGTTTTAGCTAGAGGAAGAGGGGGGGGGGGGGTCGCACGTGACTGCACTCACACTGCTCGCACGTGTGTGCTCCATTGTTATAAGTAGGTGAAATGTGATAGACATTAGACAGCATAACGGGTGGTTGATTTGGAGCAATTAACACCAACTACACCACGGACTTATGCAACCTTCACTGGCAAGTAAATCACTGTCGAATGTGAATCAATCATCAACAAACCGTTTGCTCTCTCACGCCATGTTTCGTGTCCTCAGCAGGGTTGTGCTCGACTAAAAAAAGTTGCCGACTCGACTCATCATTCAACTTCAGAAAGCCCTGACTCAACTCTGACCCAAACAAGGAGCTGATTTTTCCCTTGACTCGACTCATGACTCAATCGGTTCAATGAAAATATGAGTCGACTCAAACTTGACTCAAATTTTTTGTTGAGTCAAGTGAGTTGACTCAAAATTGACTCAGATAAAAAGTTGTTGAGCGGGGGGGGGGGGTGAAAAAAAATTCGGGGCCTTGTTCTAATCTTTGTTATAAATAGTTATTTGTTAGGACTTAAGGAGTGTTTTTTCTTTGAGTAATGACTTGTAATTAGATACTTATTTAGACCATTGTCTCTAGAAAGTTGAGTCAGCTGACTCATGTTAAATGTTTGACTCAACTCAATGTCAAAAGTTATTTTACTGACTCAACTCTGACTCAACTCAACAGCTTAACCCTCGCCCGTAAACGGCGTTTTGCCACCTTCGCCCATGCAGGGGGGGGGGGTTGGTGCGACCCCCCCTGGCGTTTGAAAACGGAGCGTCGTAGAGCTTAGCGGAAAAGACCAACGGATTGCTCTCAACGAGATCTCACGATTGGTGGTATATTTTTTGGTCCTAGGTCAACATTTGACCTACTTATGACCGGTCAAAGGTCAAATTTTCGGAAAAATCTAACTTTTTCAGATTTCCGCGCCGATTGCGGCTACACGGTAAGAGATGTCGACTTGAAACCTTCACTATCGTGATCCTTGATCAATTCTCTATCGTTTGGTGTGTATTTCGATGTCATAACTCTAAAAATGATGCGTTGGAAGCATCGGAAGTCTGCAAGGTCATTTGTGCATTGGATCACGTCAGGCGTGTGACGTCACTGACCTGACCCTGACCCAAAATGAACTACAAGAAACAACTGACGATGCCTGAAATGGATAGCAAATTCGAATTCAGGGCATCAAAATACCCCGAAAAGGCATACAAGTGCAAGAAGTCATTACAGGTCAACCGAGGTCACTGACCTGACCTTGACCTTTAGTAACCTTGAAAAGGTCAACGGACATTGTGCCAATGTCAAATCAGCCAGTTATGATTCTAAAACAATCCATCAGTGTGTCAGGTCAGTCGGCATTTATACCATTGTGAAGCAATCTCCAATTTAGCGTAAATCTGGCCGGAGGTTGTTCCCTTTATGACGTCATAACTCCGTGACCTGACATGACCTTGACAAAAAAATTTACCAAAAGTTGCGCAAAGGATGCCCCAAAGGGTACTGAAAATTTGAGCTGGCTATCTGAAACGGTTCGGCGTGTAGCTAAGAAAAACCTCAGGGGGGAGGGGTTGCACCCCCCCCCCCTACATGGGCGAGGGTTAATATTTTTGTCCGACTCAACTCTGACTCAACTCAACAGCTCAACATTTTATCCGACTCGACTCAAATCTGACTCATTTGAGTCAGAGTTGAGTCAAATTTTTGACTCGACTCATGAGTTAAGCACAACCCTGGTCGTCAAACACCAATTTCTTGTCGATTCACAGTTTGGACAACACAATAGGTATATGTCTACACATGTACCAAATTAGCCCGACCGAGCAGCTGGACATTTTATGAACCGGTACAGGAGTCAGAAGCACGCAGACGGCCCGGACACTATGGGGATGGAGTAGCGTTAGACCAAGACAGATGGACAACGTTGGCCGTGAGATTGTGTATGGAAAATGAGGCAGTAACTGCGACTCTGATGGAAATTGGACCCAGACAGATGTGGCCGGCGGCCGCTATGCGGTGTTTTCAATCAACTGTTGGATTATCAGTGTGATAACGGTGCATACCGTTACTGGAAGAACGGTTGAGTGTTGAGTTTGTGTACAGTCAGATTGTTTTGTTGGGCGGTTGATTCGAAATCGTTTAATTGTTGTGCAGCAGACACTTACAGACTTGAGATGGGATCTTCTTATCAAAACATCGTTTAAAAGCACATCACTACAGACGGGGACGAGTGACGATATTGGACAATCAGCCTCCGTAACATATTGTGTAAGGATCTTACAGGTTTTGCTCAGAGCGACCTCGCGCTACGATCACACAACGGATAGTGTCGGCACGATTTGGAGACTAGTGACGTCACGCTTCGAACACGTGCGTGGCCGATGCATTCTGGAGTTAGTACAGGTGAAGTGATCAGATGCAGGGAGACGGGGCTTTCGGGAGACGGCAGCGAATTAGTAGATCGGCGTTCCGAATGTTTTCAGTTTAACTAATGGAGACCATAAGAAAATGGAACACGTTTATAAAGAATAAGACATTGAATGTCAGAGTTGAAGACAGAGACTATAGGTATAGCATGGATATATGCAGCTGATCAAAAAGCGTAAACACCAGAAATGAAGAATGCAACATAGTATAAAAAGCACCGTGTTGCATACACATAGCTAGCATTTGTCACTGAATTGCTTTTTACATTTGAACTGACGTTGATCTGACCTGTGACCTACAAAGTCATAATCTGTTTGTGCTGCTAAGTGCTAGGGTTTGTCTTGTTGAGAGCTTTCAAGTGTCGTTTTCCATGTCTTTCTACGACCATTTTTTTTTTATAAATTTAGCTCGAATGTTTGAATGGACGAATTGACAGAGCCGGAGCCCACGCTAAGCAGAGCTTGTTGCGTAGACCCCGACCCCTAACGTCCGATCGCGCAATGCCGGGTAACGGGATAATTTAGATGCCAAAGTTTAACGCGGCCCCCAGTCAATGGCATTGGCAGCTTCCAGGGTTGTGCTTGACTCATGAGTCGAGTCAGAAATTTGACTCAACTCTGACTCAAATGAGTCAGATTTGAGTCGAGTCGGATAAAATGTTGAGCTGTTGAGTTGAGTCAGAGTTGAGTCGGACAAAAATATTAAGGTGTTGAGTTGAGTCAGAGTTGAGTCAGTAAAATAACTTTTGACATTGAGTTGAGTCAAACATTTAGGAACATGAGTCAGCTGACTCATTCTAAAAACAATATATATATATATATATATATATATATATATATATATATATATATATATATATATATATATATATATATATATATATATATATATATATATATATATATATATATATATATATATATATATATATATATATATATATATATATATATATATATATATATATATATAAGCTTTTCATCCCCCTCCTGCTTAACAACTTAGCCCTGGCCCTGCTGCCGGATTCCCCTCCCCCGCTCAACAACTTTTTTATCTGAGTTAATTTTGAGTCAGCTCACTTGACTCAACAACAAAAAATTGAGTCAAGTTTGAGTCGACTCATATTTTCATTGAGCCGCTTGAGTCATGAGTCGAGTCAAGAGAAAAAAATCAGCTCCTTGTTTGAGTCAGAGTTGAGTCAGGGCTTTCTGAAGTTTAATGATGAGTCGAGTCGGCAAATTTTTTTTTAGTCGAGCACAACCCTGGCAGCTTCACGCTCTGGTGACGTAAGCAGGGCGTGAAGTCTTTTTTATTTTCCCTTCACTAGTGCTAACCCTATGGTAGATACCGATTTCGAAGGTAAAACTAAAAGTCGATTTATTAACTTATTAGTCGAGATACGGAAAAACCGAAGGTACCACACAACAGGCCGATCTTTCTTCTATCGATACCCGCATCCACTTTTAAAATGGTACAAACATAAAACGCTGAAATATGGCGATCTGTGTGAAGATGTTAACCTTCCAGGCGGTGGGGGGGGGGCATTTTTTTGCCCCCCCCCTTAGTTTTTTCAATATATCTCGAGAACCGCTGCGCCGATCGTCACCAAACTTTCAGTACCCTCCCGGGAGCAGCTAGCGCACATGGTGACCAAAAATTTTTCCAAAGGCTATGATAGGTTGGCCGCTAATGACGTCAGAGTGACGTCATTTTTGCCATTTTCGACCCAAAAAAAGGTTTCGCGGGAAGAGCTGTCAGGCCTACAGCTTTAGAGATACAGAAAAATGTTTCAGACATAAAAGATGTGAAATCAAGAGGGCTACAAAACTGCTATATCGGTTTTTGGAATTTTTTGGATTTTGACCCCCAAAAATAAAAAATAGATTTTTTGATTATTATAGCCAAAAAATCCAAAAAGTTTTTTGAATTTCGAAAAAAAGGAATATATGTGATAGTCCCTACTGTCTTCTATCTATATACCAAATTTGAGATCGATACCTCTTTTTTTGGCCAAGTTATAGCGAAAAAACTGTTCAAAATTGATGACGTCAAATTTTCAAACTCAATTTTTAGCAATTCTAGACCCTGTAGCGCAAAACAAAGACCACCATTAGACTCCCCGTGACGAGCTGCATCGAATCGATACCCATTTTATGCAAAAATATCAACTTTCAAATTTGACCTTTTTTGACCTGACCTTGACCTGACCTCCACCAGAAAGTGACCTAAACCGTACCTGATGGTCTTATAACCAACAC